CGAATTAGGTACACATAGGGTAACGGGGGGGGATACAATAACGGGGGGGGCACTCATTATTATGAAATATGCAATTACTGAGGGATTTTGCGAGTGCCATTCGATAGAGCGTCGAAAAATATACTAAGAGAATTAATTTGAGCCCAAAATAATGTAATGGAAATTTTTTATTGAATAAACCAAAATTGAGGAAAATCTAGGGGGAGCACATAGGATAACGGGGGGGGGGAGTCAAATTTTCGAAATTTTCGAAATTTTCGAAATTTTCGGTATTTTGAAAACGTCATTCGATAAAGCGTCGAAAACTGCCCTAGGAAAATTAATTTCAGCCCGAAATAATGTAAATGAAATTTTTTATCGAATAAACAAAAATTGATCAAAATCCATGGGCAGCACATAGGGATAACGGGGGAAGTCAAATTTTTGAGATTTTCGAGATTTTGAAAACGCGAATCGAAAGAACATCAAAAAATATACTAAGAGATTTTTTTACAACGCGAAAAAATGTATTATAAAAGTTTTATAGCCTAAAAACTATTTTTGAAAACTATGGGCAGCACATAGGATAACAGGGGGGGGGGAATTTTCGGCGTTTTGAATATTTTCGAGATTTTGAAAATGCCATTCGATAGAGGACCGAAAAATATATACTAAGAGTTTTTTACAGCCTGAAAAAAGCATATTTAAAAATACTTTTATCATATAGAAAGTTTGAGTGCCCCCCCGTTATCCCCCCGTTATCCTATGTGTACCGCGAATTACGCTAGAATCTGCAAAATACGCTTTTTTTCCGGGGATTTCGGTTTTTTCCTTGCTTCTTCATTTTGTAATGGAACTTCCATCGCAAAAACCTAGAGGTTTTGGATACTGGATCATACTATGTTTCTGATATTTCAAAAAGAGGATTGTTATTGAAAGTTACACTAGCCAGCTAATATTTCCATCTTCCCCAGATCTAGTGATCACTTTCTGACCGTTGTCAGCATGGCCGGCTGATGTTTCTGTTTCTGTGGTGGTGAGTGGAGGGTGGAAAGGGCCGGCTGAGTGGTGGAGGCCCATCCAGCCGCCACCCGTCTCCTATCAATCACCCGTTTCGACGCCTCGAAAGGATGGGCTGCCAATTCCGTTCCCTTGGGCTATGAGGAGGAGCATCCCTCTTCCCGGTGCCCGTTTTTTGTCGGGGGAACAAACGGGGAAACTCGGGCTGGGAAAAGGCCCAAATTAGGCGGGTGGGTGAGCCGTTTTTGGGTCGGAGATTTTTTTTTGGGTGAAAGGGGTGAAGGAAAGGTTATCGGGAATTTTTGGGGCGTTTTCACTAGTATCAGAATTGACCGATAGGAAAAGAAAGCAAGAATTCTGTTTATTTTTGGCGTAAAATAGTTTTTCGTGATTTTTTTCGAAAATTAGTCAGATCTGACGATTCTACCGTAGCCATATAGATAAATAGAAATAGAAATAAACAATTGCCGACTAGGGGAAAAATCCTAAGCCGCTAAACTAACCTTTTTACGAAAAGCTGCGCCCAAGAAATGTGGAAAAATCGTGTAAACTTAAAAAATTAATTTTCAGCGCGTCCTTCACGTCGTTCTCAAAGGCATCGGCATCACAGATGTTGCACATCCACACTTTGCGCTTCGATTGCTCGGTAAGAATTTTAATTTTAATTTTATAGATGCTTCAACGCTGTTGAACACACATTTTCAGTCGGTTCAACCGGGGGCACGTCAGCAGATGCCGTCTGGCTGCACCCGAACCTTTTAATTAAACATGTGCGCCCACTCTACTCTCATCAAATATCGGCCAGCACTTCCAGCGCCGAGCTGAGGTGGGTTTATTAGAAAATAGGAGAAAAAAATAGAGAAGGCCCTAGACTATCTAAATTTCTAGATTTGAGCTGCGTCTTCGCTTCATTCCCCAGTCCACCTACGAGTTATTGTTGACCGAATCGAAAGCGTTTTTCTATCTTCATGAACAGGTCAGGTTTTTGGAGCCTTGAATGGTATAAATTTATATTTTATAGGTATTCGCCGATTTCCAAAAGCAAATCGCATGGAAAATCGCGTTGGAGCCAGCGCTGGAGCTGGCCGCGCTACGGGTCAGCCGGGATTATATCGAGAAACAGGCGTAAGTGCTAAATTTAACCTCGTACTAACTTGGTACTGGCGTGTTAGCGGGGGTGGAACAGCTATCTAGCCTTCCCATACTTAAAATTCGTGAGCGTTTCATAGTTTTTCGTAGTTTTTGGCTTTGAGCGTGTGATAAAACGTTTAGAAAATTTTACAAAATGTTAAATTTTTGACAAAGAATAAACTATTTCGGAAACTAGACATTTTTGAACTTGGGAACTTGAAAAAAGACGTAAAAAGTTAGACGTCGATGGTTGTATTACGTTATTGGGATCATACGTAGCGATAAGCTAAAGTTACCCCCCCCCCGCTAACAGTTCATTACCCTCGTTTCTTCAGGCGTGGATGTATCGAAGCGAGGCTTGACGCAGATTCGCTAGATGCCGAGGCGGCAATATCGACGTTTATTCCGGATACAGTGTTAATGACGGCAAATGTAAAGGTATTTTTTTAAAGATTGGCCTGTTAAAATTCGGGCCAAAAAAGTTCAAAAGCTTTAAATGTGCAAAATTTAGGCCAAAGACTTGAAGAAGACGTTTGTCGGGTTGGTGAAGAAGTTTTCGACGTTGTCGGCGACAGGTTTGTGGGAGAATTACTTATCGTAATCGTTTTTAGATTCTGTTCTTCGGTCTTTGTCATTGTTGATCGAGTTTGTCAAGTTTGATCTGGAGATTTTCAAGGCGAGCATAGGGGTGAGGTTTTTCTTAAGTTTTTACAGGTTTTTCTGATTAATTGTAGTTATTTTATATATTTTTAGGCCGGCTGTTCTTTTTATGATTGTCGTTTATGGCGAATTTTAATAATTTTTGTACTTTTTAGGCCGGTTGGTCCTCCCCTGTCGAATTTCTGGTTGGGCCCGAGGTTGGGATGTCGTATCGGATCAATGAGAGATGTGATGTAAGCTCAGAAAAGGAATTATTTTGTATTTAATTTAGTCTTTTAGTTTTCATTGCTTTTTTTAGATGTCTCGCCTGGGGGAGCTGCGTTGTGTGCTCGAGGTGACGGTGCGTAAGATGGAGGCTCATGCGGACAAGGCGATCGTGCAGATGAAGCTCAGCGGGTCGGCGCAACCGATGGTATGTCATTGAGAGTAGTGAGGCGCTTAGGCTTATCTTAGGCTTAGTTTCAGCTTAGGCTTGGACTTGATCTTAGGCTTACCTTAGGCTTTGCTTAGGCTTAGGCTTAGGCTAGGCTTAACTTAGGCTTCTTTTCCAAGCTTGAACGAAGACTAGTAGGCTAGTGGCTGGCCTTGGTTTTCTTAAACTGGCTTCCTTTTCTCGCTTGGAATTGGGCTTGGCCTAGGCTTTTGCTTTTCTTCTGGTTCAGCTAGGCTTTGGCTTCGTAGCATCTTTGGCTTGAGTGCGACTCCTGGCCTAAGCTTGCGCTCAGCTTAGTCTCAGCTTAGTTTTTCGCTTAGCTTTCCGGATTGGAGGCCTGAATTTCCGTATTTTGCCTCCTGACACCGCTTTGTCTATCCTCATGGCCCACGAGGCCCATTCATTTCCCGCATCTGCCTTGTTTTGGGCATGTGGGGTCGTGGGGGTGCTAGAGGGGGGGATTAAATGGACAAGGATGGGCGGTGGGGAACAAAGCTTTGGCCCTTCCCGTCCTCGGGTCATTTCATTCCCTCATACATATGTGTTGGGCTTGGAGGGATCGAAGGGAAAAGTTAAAATATACACGTGGAGCGGGATTGAAGGTATATAATGATTCTATTGTTTTAGGAACTTAATAGAGTAGCTAAAATAAAATACCCGAGAATCGAGTTTTTTAGCTAATCACCACGCCGTCTCTTGAAATCGCCGAATCACTGGCCCACCTCATCGATGGCTATCAGGCGATGTACAACCAGGGCCCCAGCGTTTATAAAATGAGAGGTACGGTAGAATGGTCATCAAATAGCCGAGATTCGGCTCTGTTTCATTAGCGGGGGGAGAAATAACTGCTCGCTTGGAGCCTAACCTTGATTGTAATAAAACCAACTAGTTTTTGTAGTGTGTTTGGTAGTTTCGGATCACTAAAACTTAGAAAAAAATCAAATAAACTTAGATTTTTGACAACTTTTAGTAAGTAGTAGTACCCCCCGCTAAGGAATTAGAACCCTAAATTCTTCAGGGCTCGACCGATGCGATAGCATCGAGTTGAAGGCGTCCAAAGCGGTGGCGTGCCGAGAGGAGAGAAATGTTCCTAATAATGGTAAGAATAGAAAATAATGCAGATTTCGCTGCCCGTCCATAACGATCTCGCTCTCTCTTCTCTCTCTCTCTCTCCCTCTCTCTCTCCCTCTCTCTCTCCCTCTCTCTCTCTCTCGCCTGAAAAACCCCCGACTTCAGTCTCAGACCGGCGCATCAAACGCGAGCACGTCACCCTGAAGGAGCTGATCGGAGGCGGACAATTCGGAAACGTGTACAAAGGAGTGTATTGTAGTCCGGTAAGCCAATAACGGATTTCCGGGGAACTTTCCATCATTAGGGCCACTCCACCCAATCGGTCGCCATCAAGGTGTGCAAGCTGGAAAACGAGCCGGCCGATACGCAGTTGATACTCCAGGAATCACGTGAGTTTGAGCTTTTTCGGGGAGAATGAGGGTCCGGAGAGTCCGGAATTAATTTAATTGCAGATTTGATGCGGCGTTTCCGGCACGAGAATATCGTGGCGCTGGTTGGGGTCTGTATGGAGTCGCCAATGTGGCTGGTCATCGAGTTGGCGTCTTATGGAGAGGTTGGTGGTTTGTAGTTTAGCGAGTCTGATCTCTCTTTCTCGCTCTACTCTCGCTCGTTTTCTCGCTTTTTGTCTCTCTCTCTCTCTCTCTCTCTCTCTCTCTCTCTCTCTCTCTCTCTCTCCCTCTCTCTCCCTCACTGTCTTTCTGTATCTGCCTCTCTCTCTTACTCTCTCTTTCTCTCTCTATCTCGCTCTCTCTATTTCGTTCTCTCTCTCTCGCGCTCTTTCTCTCTCTCTCTCTCTCTCTCTCTCTCTCTCTCTCTCGCGCGCTCGCTCGCCCTCTCTCTCCAAAAAATAAAATACTTTATTCTGGATGTGAAAGGCGCGTAGATAGTTCCAAATGTACAAATAACAACAGAAAAACACACGGGGAGGTTGGGTTGAGCTGATGAGGACGAAGGGGGTACGGTGAAACCGGAGGAGCGAGAGAGTGAGTGAAAGGAGCATGAGGAAAAGAATAGGGAAACGATAAGTAGATGCTGATTTGCACACGGGTCCGCTCGGCTGTGAGATCTGACGGGACTTTCGTGGGCGCATTAATGGGAGCCCTGTGTATATTCAAAGGTAGAAGAAGAAGAGCAGCGTCGCCATCACGGTCGCAACGGTTTGGCCGGCTAAAGAGCAGGATTATTAGGGTTTTCTTGCCGCGACGCTACAGGCGACGCGTGCCCTGCTGGAACCGCACCTTTAGAATTGGCGTTTCGATCAAATATATCGTATTTTTGGGGGTTTAAAGGGACCGGCAAGGCTTGCATGGATTTTTTGGCCATAATATGGCCGCACCGTCTATACGGATCATAATCCATTACCCAATGGAGCAGGCGCGTAGCGTATTTTTTGAGCAAAATCGTAGGGAATCCATAGCTATGTCTTTCCGGCCCCTCTAAAGCCGCTTTTTGGCACGGAATTCGTACTTTTTGTCTTGCCGGCCCCTTTAAAGCTTGTTTTTTCGCGTAGAATCAGTGGTTTTTGAAAGCTAAACACTATAATCCTAATTTTGCGCCGTTTTTGGCAAGACGCCAAATCCCTGGAATTCCATTAGACAACCTCTAAAGGAACCGGGAAGTCTAGGCATCGATTTTGTTCGCTATGGATTTTCCGGCGCGACGCGACACGCGCAACGCGTTGGATCTAACCGCGACGCGAACGCGTCAGATCTGACCGCGACAGGCAACGCGCTGAAATCTGACCGCGACACGCAACACGCAACACATGCGTCGCATAGCTGCGCAGAGGGCATAATAATCCTTTACACACAAAAAAAACAGTGCGTGTGCGTTGCGTATCGCGGCGCGGTAAGCCACCAAGAAAATCCACAGCCTCCAAAATCCACAACCATGTCTTGCCTGTCCCTTTAAATTCCATAATTCCACACCAATCCCCTTGACACACCCCCACCACCACCCTCACAGCATTCACCTGATCGTGCAGCCTGCTGCGTCTGCGCGCTCGGCTGGTCCCGTAGCGTGGGGGATACGGTACCGCCTGTCGGGACCGTACCTGTCCTTGCAGCGATTGGGGCGGCAGTATCGTTCGTCGATCGAGTTGTCACGATTGTCCCACCACCTGTGTAATACCCGGGTTTTACCACCAAATCACCCAAAAGCCATCCAATTTGGGAGACGTCAAACTGCAAATTTGAAAGAAACGCTGGCTCACAAGATTCCATAATCTTTTCAAAAGCTTTGTTAGTTGTTATGGTTTTTTTGCAAAATTTATGCTGATTTTTTACAACGAAAAATAAATTAAAAATTCCAAAATTCTTAGAAATTTGGTTTTTAGAGCCAAAATTGTTTTTCCTGGGTTTAAATGTACCCAGTTGCCACATTTTTTGCATAGTTGATGATGGACACCATCCCGAAAGACACCATCCCGAAAACTTTGCATGCGAAAAGTCAGCTCTACTATAGAAAAAGGAGCTATTTTTCTATGCTAATGAGGTTTTCGCATGCAAATTTTTCGGGATGGTGTCTTTCGGGATGGTGTCCATAATTCTATTTGCTTACCAGGGTTGAAAAGCCGCTTCGCGACTTTTCAACCCTGGCCCCGTCTGACCCCGTTTTATCCTTCACTTTGCATAATTTTCCTGAATTCAGATGACAAAAAAGGAAAAACTACTTGTTGAGCCCCTTTATGTAGTCGAATCCCCACTTCCGGTCTACGCTAATTGTTCCTAACAAAGAGGTTTTTACAAAAACTTAAATTTAATGTCGAAAATAGGTGAATTTGTTAAATCTGATATGCGTGCAGTCATTTCCAGGCCATTACGCATCTAATGACGTATCATATATACCTTACAATTCCTCCCTTATCGAGATATCCTCCGGACAGACATCCGGAAGTGGATGCAAAGTGGCACACACACACACACACAGACACTATTTTTTTATATATAGTGGGATAGAAAAGAAAATGTTGAAAATCGAAAATTTAGAAAAAATCGAAAAGGAAGTTTTCGATTTTGAAATCGGAAAAGTAGCTTTTTCATCTAAAATTTACACGTTTTTAGAATTTTTTTATTCACAATTCATTTTCTGAATAATTTTGAAAACTTAAAGGGATAGGGGCGGCATAATGCAATCGATTACGCGCGGGAAAGAAAATGTCTCTGCGCCTCCCCCCCTGGGCGCGCTCTCTGCCCTGTTGGCTACTTGCCAATTTGTTGATGGGGGGGATCGACACATGCCGTCGGCAGCCCTTTAAAAATTGTAAAAATTAATTTTTCTACTCTAAAAATGGATAAATCCCCGGGTTCGAGTTTGATTTTTGGTTAAAATCTGGTGAGCCAGTGTTTCTTTCCATTTCCGATAGCCATATTGTTATTTAGGAAGCGTTAGGGGTAGAGGACAGCATCCTATCCTATAAGCGAGAAAAGTATGTGTGTTTTCTGTGCAGCCGATTTCTCGGCCGTCAGGCCGAATTTCCGGCTGATTTTTGGCATGGAGGTGGAGAAACACATTTGCCAGACACGCATTTTTTTTGTTTTTCGAAATTCCTCTATTTAACGATTTTACAAACAAAATGGTGAAAATCCTTAACAAAATGGGCGACGAGCCGTGGTGTTCGGGGCATAACTCAATGCCCAGATGGAATTTCGGTCTGTAATTTCGACCACTTATGTATTCGATAGTGGGGATCACGCGCATCTTATTATCTTTGCAAATTTTTGGCGCATTCAGTCTAAAATAGCGATTTTTGTAAAGTTACCAGATGTCCTCCCGGCCCGGTTGAAGCCCGCACCCAGGACAGAAGGGGCCTTTCCCGCCACCCGTCCCCGTGCCCCCTTTGGCATAGTGGCTTGGCGCCAGCTCTACAGTGCGCATAGTCGAGGGTTCGGATCCTCGGAGCATGTACATTTTTGCTTTTTGATAGTTCAACAACGAAACATATTTCGAGGCTCTCGGTATCCGAAATTTCGGCCAGTCGCTCGCTCTAGCGCCGCAGACCAAAGAATGGTTCTTAGAGACAGGCTCTTGCGCCGCAGGCTTTCAAAAACGGAAGGGGAATATATGGTTCCTAGACGGGGCCAGTGGAAAAGGGCCGCGAAGCGGTTTTTTTCCACTGGTTACAGTATACCCCAATTGTCATTAGGCTCCTACCGTTGGCGGTGTTTGTGGTGTCGTACTGTCCGTACTGGGCGTTCATATCGCCGTGGTCGTATAGGCGATTATTCGTGCCCTGAAAACAGAAAAACTGGTTTTGTTCTCTATTCTAGAACTGATGGATTTCATAATGTAATCGGATAAAATTTAGAAAATCAAATTTTGGGAAAAATTGACTTTCCTGGCCGCCTAGGGTGCCCCACCCTTTTAGGCCTCGTTCCTTTTCCTCTTCCCATTTGCCTGGTGATGTAGTGGTTAGTAGCCTTGCCTCTCAATCTGAGGGTCAAGGGTTCGATACCCGGCCGTACCGATTGTTTTTGCTTTTTGCTTTTTGGACCCGATCGAACTTTACTGTCCCTTTAACCCACCGTTCCGACACCTCCGTTGGTTGAAGCGGTTACACCAGTATTTTGGCGTTGCGTCTGAAAGTCGATTTTTCGTTGAATTTATGGTGTAACCTGTTGCAGAGAGTACGGCTGGGTGGAGCCCATCATTTGGGGGACAAGGGTCGAGCCACCGTCTACGCCCTAGGAACCATGATAATTAGCTAGTCTCTCTCTCTCTCTCTCTCTCTCTCTTTCTCTCTGTCTCTATCTCTCTAATTGTCTCTTTTCCACCTACCTTGGAATATTGATAATTCATATCGGCATGATTGGCAGTAAGGGCGGGCCCATCAGAGAATTGCTGCTAAAACGCATTAATGGTAGGTAGACAAGCTAGCCGTTAGTCGTTGAGAAATTGCTGTGCTACTCATTCCTAATTCACCAACCTGTCCCTGGGTATCGAATTGTTGATTGTTGTATGAGGATGTCTGGAGTACAATATCTTACTGCTAACGGTTGGGTACCGTACCTGTGGGTATCCCTGCGTAGTCTGCGTCGATGGGAAGCGTTGCGTAGTCGTGAACGTCGTGGGGGTGGTGGGGAAGGTGGTGGTGGAAGGGCTGGAATGGTTTAGGCTTGGGCTACGCTTAGGAATAGGCTTAGGCTTAAACTGAATTAAACTTACCGTCCTTGTCCATTATTTGTAGTCCGTTGATTCCCCTGTACGAATTGACCAGTCTGATCCTGTCCGAACTGGGTAGTCGTTGTCCGTCCCGAGGAACCAGCCGTCTAATTTAATTAATTGAATCTATCGTAATCAATTTATTTTACCGTGGGCCTTCCGGTGGTTCGTGAAGATGAGGGGTACTGTGTCGTTGTCTGTCCACCCGCGTACAGCCCGGCTCCAGCTCCAGCAGCTGCTCCAGCCAGGGCTCCCCCAGCGATAGCGCCACCGTAGTTCGAGTTTGAGGTCGTTTGGTACTGAAAAAAGGGTTGGAAATCGTCTATAGGACTAGAGGAAGCAAAAAGCAAAAAGTTTGCCGTGCGCGAGAATCGAACCCTTGGCCCTTTGCTTACTAGTCACGGATCTGAACCATTAAGCCATGGGACGAGAAGGCCTATTGCCATTTGTGTCCTTGTTCCTATGGTTCAATCGGTAGAGCAGCTACCTCTCAATCTCACTACGGTGGTTCGACCCCCAGCCTCGCCAAACTTTTTGCTTTTTGGCGAGTGGCATTATTTTTGCCTACTAAAGCCATTAATGAACCTGCGGGTCGTTGAACTGCGAAGGCGAGGCGGTGGTGAATTGTTGATTCTTAAAAAAATAGTGTTTTTGAGAGTTTTAAATTTTTAATTAGCTGGATGTATCGATTTACCTGATTATTCGGGTTGTAGGGAGTAGTGTACTGGAAAGCGGTCGGGCTGGATTGCCCGTTTCCTGCTGCCGTTCCGGTGACCGGATACTGGGCACTGGCATCGTAGCCGCTGTTGGGGTGTACGGTATTGTAGTTGTAGGGGGATTGGGTCTGGAAAAGGGGAACTAAGGGATTTTTTATAGCTCTTTCTCTCTCTCTCTCTCTCTCTCTCTCTCTCTCTCTCTCTCTTTCTCTCTCTCTCTCTCTCTCTCTCTCTACCTGATCCATATATTGCCCATTTCCATTTGGCTGCCCATTTGCCGATCCCTGATAGACGCCACCCGCATTTACCTAAATATCATTTTTGAGATTTTAAAGGGACAGTGAAGTGAGCGTTACAGTAAGCCAATCTATGCAGCGACGAAATGCCACAAAAATCAAATGTACAACGTTTTCAAAAATTGCGATTTACGGAAAATTTGGCGCGATGGATGGGCTGAAATAGAATGCGAATTTATAAATTTACCAAAACTTTTTATTTTTATGCAAATTGTACCTGTTGGCCTTGTTGGCCGGGTTGGTTGAATTCAGGGGTGGGGTAGAGGATTGGCTAAAAATTAGCTGACTATACAAGTCGTTTAAAGGCGATTTGCATATTCCTCTCTCTCTCTCTCTCTCTCTCTCTCACTCTCTCACTCTCCCTCGCCCACCTGTCCATTCGGCTGTTGTCCACCGATTTGTTGTTGATTTCCGGCGTTCAGCTCGTTATAGCCAAGTTGTTGCTGGGGGTTTCCTGGGATGCAGTTTGTAGTTTGGAGCCCAGAAGTTAGCATACCTTGTCCATTTGGTTGTCCATTGGCTGGGCCGACAAAAGTGCCCTCGAAGCTGCTCGTGTACTCGCCGTCGTTCGGATTCTAAAAAATCCATGACTTCAAAGGGCCTTTAAAAGTTAATTTTTTAGCTTTTTCTATGTCTCTCGCTGCCTCTCTCTCTCTTTCTCTGCCTCACACTCTATCTAGCGCACTCTAGCTGTCTACCACTCGAGGGCGCTCTCCCTCTCGATTTCTCGGCGTCTCTCTGTCTGTCTCTCTCTCGCTTTCTGCCTCTCTCTCTACCCACCTGTCCATCATATCCAGCATTCGCTCCATTATATCCACTCTGTCCTCCAGCATTCAGTCCATTATATCCATTGCCCTGGTTACCGTATCCCTCATTCCCCGCATTATATCCTCCCTGCGGGACACCCGGAGTACTGTATCCTTGATTTCCATTGTTATATCCACTCTGTCCCGGCAGGGGTGTACTGTAGCCCGGATTTCCGTCATTGTATCCTCCCGGATTGACGCCAGGGGTACTGTATCCTTGGTTGTTCGCGTTATATCCATTCTGGGCAGGCCCTGGGGTACTGTAGCCCTGGTTTCCTGTGTTGTAGCCACCGTTGTTTAGCGGGGATGGGGTACTGTAGCCTGAAAAATGGAAATTTTTGGGCAAGCTGGCAGAGATTATTTGAGACCTTTAAGCGATTTTTCGGAAGTAGAGGCAAACTAGCAGGGTATCATTGGGAATTTTGAAGGTCAGGGCAAGCTAGCAAAGACCATGTTTTGCTCTCCCATTAATGCACGTTGCTAAAATCCGACCCATCGACCGTAACCACACCATAATTGGCCGCATTGTATCCAGGTTGTCCAGGGCCCGGCGTCTGGCCGTAGTTTGGATTCTGTCCGTTGTAGGACCCGGCTGGGGTACTGTAGCCGGGGCTCGGCGTGGCTCCATTGATATTATTGTAGTTGTAGTCGCCTTGTGGGGAGCCGGAAGTGTATTGTGGCTGGAAAAGTCAATTTGTGGGGCAGTCTAGCAGGGATTATTTAGGAATTGGGTCTTGGGCATTATCGGGGGGGGGGGGGGCGCGGCTAACGTTTTCCGATAAGTTCAGAGATGCCTATAAACGTAATAGTAAATATTTTAATCAAGTTTTTATTAAAATTTAACGATATTTCAAGTAAAAAACGTTTAAAAAACATAAATTTTTACAAAATTTTTTTGCACGAAAAATCGATATTTTTGTATTTCTTAATCAAATCTGTAAAGGTTTGTAGGTGATCTCCCCCCCCCCCCCCCCCCCGATAATGCTTAAGAACCAAAAGCACATATATTTCGCAGGGCAAGCTAGGATAGATTCTTGAGGGATTTCTGGCTATACGGTATTTTTTTAGTTTCTCGCTAATTTCTGCACTAACTCTCACCTCATATGGCCTCGTAACTGGTCGTGGGGTTGTCGGTGTCGTTCCCTAAATCGTGCGCATGCTACCGTAGTCTGTAGTTTATCGTACCTGGGCGTAGATGGCATTCTGGTAGTTGACCTGGCCAGTTGGGATTGGGCCTGGAGCGCCTGAAAATGCCAGTTTTGTATTTTTTAAAGCTAGCTTTTCTAAATGGTACTGTCGCCATCCATTTAAAACTCAAAAATCTTATTTTTTTAAACATAGAATTTTATTTTTAATTACGTTTAAAACCTGTTTTCCTCACCATTCGAATTCCAAGCGGGCTGATTGAGTGTCCACTGCATACTCTGGACGCCATTTTGACAGCATGGGCTGAAATGGACGGCGGTTACGGTAGTTTAAAGGAGCGCTCAAGGCTTGGCTATGGATATGGACTTTGTCCATAGTCGTGACGTGTCTGTCCCTTTAAAGGGCTAAGCAAGACAGAAATCATTCACTTACCCGGTCGCCTGGGCCATCATTGATGCTGGAAGGCGATTCTGAGGGACGGGCAGAGTCAGGACGACTGACTGAAAAAGGAAGGGTAGGCTGGCAGAGCTTATTGGGGAATGTTTGAGCAATATTTTCGCGAGTCTGGGCGGGCTAGCGGCGATTCTTGAGGAATTTGGCGATTTTTGGCGATCTGGCAGAGGTTTTTAGGATTTTTAAGCGCTTTTTTCAAGGAAATTCAGGGCAAGCTAGCAGAGTTTATTTGAGATTTTTAAGCGATTTCCTTGCTGGATTTCTTGACCTTTCATCAATGCAGAAACTGAGACTTCCCAGCCCCTTTAAATTTGGCTCTGGGTAGTTAGCAGAGATCATTTAGTAAGACCGCCCTCCGAAAGCTAGTAAAGATCATTTGGGAAATCGCTAGTTTCGAATTTTCTCTGATATGTCTACCATTAATGCGCGGCAACCCAGACTTCCCGGGACCTTTAAATGAAGTTATGGGACTAGCAGAGGTTCTTTACGATGCTGGCAAGCTAGCAGCGATTATTTAGCAAAGAAAGCTAGCTATCAAGCTAGCTATCAGACTCATGAAAAGCTAGCAAAGATCATTGGGGAATCGGCTGATATAATTCTCTCCACGTACCTACCATTAATGCATCAACTCCCAGACTTCACAATCCCTTTAAAACGAACCTGTGGCGGGGCGAATTGTTGGCATCCTGTGCACGGACTCTGCGGGCAAACACCATTCAGAAGCTGAAAAAGCACGATTTATATCGATAAAATCATAGCCTATTGGTAAAGCCCTTGACACTTGAATCCAACTACCCGAGTTTAATTCTTTCCGCGGTTTTTCGGAGTTTTATTTTTTGCTTTTTGTTATTTGAACCTGTACCTCTTCCATTAAAATGGTAAATCGAGCCATAGTTCCAGAGCCAATTGGTAAAGCCCTCCACCTTATGGTCTAGCCACCCGGGTTCAATTCTTTCCGCCGTTTCACGGGGTCTACTTTTTGCGTTTCGCCCTTAAACATATACCTATGCCCTTAAAACGATAAAAAGGTCCATGGGATCCATAGCCTGTTGGTAAAGTTCTTGACCCCGGATCTGACTACCCGAGTTCAATCCCTCCCGCCGTCTTTCGTTTTTCATTTGTGTTTTGCAAATATACCTTAATATTGACGAGTATATTGCAGACGTTGATCAGATCCAACTCGGAGACCATAATATTTTATTGGAAGCCGCAGTTATATCCGCATCTTTCCGCCTGCTCTGAGCAACTGTCCACAGTAGCGCCACGGAATCGGGGGCCACTGCGAGGATACGGTAGGGTAGGTGCGGTTTAGTTGGATGGCTGGAGAAGGAGGATTTAGGGTGAGTGAGAGAGAGCACGAGAAATAGAGAAAAAAATGGAAATTTTATTTGGAAGGCGTACTAGCAACGATTCTTTAGGAATTCAGGAGATTTCAGCTATCAATCAAGGGGAAAGCTAGCAGAGGTTCAGCAGAAATTTTTGGAAATTAATGAACACGAAAAGGCAGGCTAGCAGAGTTTATTGAGGAATTCTCCAATTTTTTTTTCTGGATGGAAGGCAGGCTAGCGGAAATTCTTTGGGAATTTATGCTAATTTTTGCGTCGAGGGCAGGCTAGCAGAGATTCTTAGGAAATTTTAGACATGCAGTCGACACAAGAAGGTAGGCTAGCAGAGATCATTAAAGAATTTTCGAAATTTTTTGAGCCATCGGAGGGCAACTAGCAGAGATTCTTTGGGATTATTCTTGGCCGCTATTGACTTGCCAATCCCTTTAAAAACAGAACATAAAAAGTTGATATCGTCAAGTTGCATGGTGGGGGCTGATAATAATAGGCATACGAGGTGGGCGGCTGAGGGTTTCTCACGACTGGTTTTTTTTGGCATAGCTGAGATGCCTTGAGAACGAGTCGACCATAAAATTGTAATCCTCGCGGAATTCTTTCGTTTATCTCATTGGTATGAATAGGTATAATCGCTGGACCACAGGCAGGGGAGGCTAGCAGAGATCCTTGAGGAATTTGCCAAATTTTAGATTTTCGGAATTCAATTTTGAAAAGCAACTAGCGGAGATTCTTAGGGAATTCGGGAGGATTTTTGAGGCAACAGCCTGCCGCGAAGCTAGCAGGGAAAATATGCTATATCTTAAAGATACATGTAAGTTAGAAAAATGAGAAAAACTACGCCCGACTGCTTTCATTTGCCAACCCCTTTAAAAGCAATTTTCATCTTTTTTTGGAAAGCTTAAACTTTTACGATTCCTTCTCAGATATTAGCTACCCCTGAAATCCCTCCCAAGCAAAAAGCAAACAATTCAAAATCCCAGGAACCGAAACTTGACCTCCAGATCAAGAGACTAGCATCCTACCGCCTGAGCTATACCCGAAAACGGCTAAAATCCTCCTAATTAAAAGGATTTCACTGCAGACCTTTGGAAAGCTGCCAATTCGACCGGGAAACCGCGTAGGGGGTGAAATTAAAGGGGTGGGAAAGGGAAGTGAGGGGAAGGAGGGAGGGGTGTGAATGGCTCAGGCGGACGGGCGGGAAGAAGATGATCTTGTGGACAATCAAATGGAGGATGGGGGAGGGAAGAGGGTTTTTGAAGCCGTGGAATCGGAGGGCACTCCCTTTAGTAGAAAACGAGAGATATGGAGGGGGAACGTCTTCTTTTACGCAGAATTTGGAGTCAGAATCGCGAATCCTCTTCTGAATCAGATCCGGGTCTCTTACTTTCTCTCTTTCTCTCTCTTTCTCTCTTTCGCTCGCTCTCTCTCTCTCTCTCTCTCTTCATCTATAGCCGTGTCCAGTTGATGACCAATTCCCACGCTCCGCTATTTGCCCCCTGGCTATAGGAGCATCCCGGAAATGGGGCGGATTTTTGAGGTCCGGATCGGATCGGAGGTGGGAAAATGGATTTGGATGAGCCGATTTTAAAGGACCATTGGAAGCAGAAATCTCTGGACTTAAAGGGACGTTGAAGGCAGAGATCGCTGGCTCTAAAGGCAATGAGAAGGCGTCCACCTTTGGATATTAAAGCCATTCAGACAAAGTTAGCTAATTAAATACACCGTAAATGCGAAAATCCACGGAATATCCAATTTTAAAGGACCATTGAAGGCAGAAAACTGTCGATTTTAAAGGGATCTTGAAGGGAAGTTCCAAAAGAATCACTGCTAGCCTTCCTCTAGAGCCCTTCTTTCCTAAAGGAACATTGAAGGCAAATTTTGCAATGAAGTAGACAAAAATGAGACTTTAAAGGGCCATTAAAGTAAAAAATAAAGGCAAATCTCGAAAATGAATTAAAAAAGATCAATAATCGATTGATGCCACTTTTTTGCGAAGGTGTGATATGCCAATAGCGGGGGGGATTGGGTAAGAGAAGAGAGGGAGAGAAGGGGGATAAGCTGTCCGATTCGAAGACGTGTCCCCTCCCTCCGCCCGATGGGTTGATCGGGCCGGAACTGACGTGCACACACGTCCGATTCCACCATCACACCCATCCCCCCACGTGTGAGATGGTCCTATCTGATGGCAGATTGGCTTGAATCGCGTGGCAACGGGCGTTTAAAGGGACCGGCAAGTCAAAAAAGTCGAAGTTTTTTAAAGGGACTAGAAACGCAAAAAAAATCGGCTAAAAATTGGGTTAGGTCATTTAAGCCCGAGATTCCAAGCTAGGGCAGTTCTTTTGGGGTCGTCTTAAAGGGCCCTTGAAGTGAGAGATGACAAGCTAGCAGGGAACTTTTAGGAGCGTTTTAAGGGACCGCTGAAGGCAACGGAAGGCGGGCTGGCAGGGATCTTTTAGGAACTTTTTAAAGGGCCATTGTAGGCAAGAGAAGGCAGACTAGCAGAGATCTTTGAGGAGCATCTTAAAGGGCGATTGAAGACATGATAAGGCAAACTAGCAGCTATCATTTAGGAGCGTTTTAAAGGAACGCTGACGCGAGAGAGCGACAGAGCAAGCTAGCAGCGATCTTTTAGGAAGGTTTTAAAGGGACATTGAAGCGAGATAGGACTGGCTAGCAGGGATGGGTTTGGAGCTTGTTAAAGGACCATTGAAGGCAAGGGAAGGCATGCTAGCAGAGGACTTTTAGGAGCGTTTTAAAGGGGCATTGAAGCAAGAGAGAGAGAGAGAGAGAGAGGAGAGAGAGAGAGAGAGAGATTGCAGAAATCCTTTCAGAGCGCTTTTAGAGGTCCATCGAAGCGACAGATAACCAGCTAGCAAAGGTCTTTGCTGGAAAGGAAGAAAGAAAAATTACAGTAATACGTCCATAGCCCATTTCCGGAAAAGCTAGACGCAACGTAGTGAATTCCTTATAAGGCGCCCCCTCCGCCCCGGCCCGGCTTTTTCCATTGAAACGCCCCGGCTGGCCATTATTTGTTGGTACACAATCACGACTTTGTAGTACTCCTTACACCTACTGACACCCACCTCAGGTTTTTCTGCCCCCCCGGATTCTGTATTTGCAATTGGTGGGGGGGGCACCGGCTGGCTGGGTCCCAATATTTGGGCCCTTTTTGCCATGCCCCCACCCGTTTTGTTGATCCCCCACTTAACCACACCACACTCCCCCCTCGACAGTCGGCTTTTGATAGGGTCAAACACTTGACTGAACCCCGGCCGGAAAATGGCAAAAATGGTTTAAAATTATACAGTAATCAAAAAACAAAAATTTCCGTGCCCGGGATTCGAACCCTGGACCCAAAATCGGCGGCCCAACGCGCTAACCACTTGACCATAGGAAAAACGCAAAAATAGTTTGAAAAGGGTTTATCCAAAAAGCAAAAAATTCCGCACCTGGGCCTCGAACCCTTGACCCTTGGCTCGATAGTCTAGTGCCCTAGCCATTTCACCGTCTGAAAATTGGCGAAAATTAGTCGAAAAATTATTCAAATTCAAAACAGCAAACTTCGCGCTGCATGGGATCCGAACCCTTGGCCCCGGGGCTTCATAGACAAAGACACTAACCACTTGACCACGCGGATTTTTTAAAATTGAATTTTAATCGTTTTCAGTGTTTTAAGCCATTTTTCTTCCTATTTTTTTGTCTACTCGGACTCAAATATCGCCCTCAATGCCGAGCACCAACAATCCAAAGTGGTAATCCGAGACACCCGGTTCCAGTTGGCAAATATTTGTCGCGGGGATGAGGATAACCTTTTCGGCTCTTTTTATGGGCCGGCGTCAACCTATCAAGAGCTCAAAATTCCACCTTGACTTCCTGGTGTCTTTAAAGTGATGGTATCCAGAGGGGCAGACGAGCAGAGGCAATTTGGGAAGCGGAAAACCGAAAACGATCAGCTTGCAAAGGGATAGTGAAGTCAAAAACGTCCAAAAGCCATAAACTTTTATAGATTTGGGGTAATTTTGGGGTTTTGTTAAGATGGCCTTGTTTTAAAGGGATTGGCGCGGCATAAATCGTGATAAAAGTTTATGCAAATTAGGTATTTTTGGGTAGCCGTTTTAAAGGGGTTAGCAAGGGTGTGTCGATGGATTTAAATAAATTTTTGAAAGCAAATGGTTTACGAAAATGTTGCCCATATTTTTTAAAGGAATTGGCAAGGCATAAATTGAAATTGATAGTATAATAGAAATTTGCATTTTTTAATGTGGTATTTTTAATGCGAAAAATAACGGTGAATGTAGTTTTTCAAGATTTCACCGATTCAAGGGATTGGAAAGTAAAAAAAATCGCCATGGAGGCTATGAAAATTAGGGATTTTTGCGCTGGCGATTTTAAAGGGTTTGGCAAGTCATAAGTAATTTTAAATGGGCTAAAAAATCAAATGTTAATTTTTAAACATAATTAAAATTTTACAATTCTTTTTTTATGCCAATTTTTTCCATAAAGATAAAAAGTCGTACAGCCACGGGGGGTGTGAATGGCCAATGGCCAATGGCTGAAGAGGGGGGGGGGAGTGGAATGGTGCGCGTGTGTGTGGATGGAGATGTATTTGTTTGCCCGAGGCTTCTTCTTCTTCCTTTCATCTCTTCTCTTCTCTATTTTCTTTCCGCTTCTTCCTCTCCTTTTTTGAAAGCCGATCCACCCCATTTTATTCACTTTTCGAGAGGGGAGGAGAGCTATTGCCCACAGACGAACATCCGCCGCGTGTACGACCCACGGAAACGGAATCGAGATATAGGAATTCCGGGGCCGGGGCAGGCTGGCGGGGATTCTTTGGGAAATTCGGAGAGTTTTAGAGGAGGCTAGCTTAGGCTTAGGTTCGGGTTCGGCTTAGCCTGGGCTTAGGCTTGGCATAGACTTAGCTTGGGCTTGAAGCTGGGCCTAGGTTTAGGCTTACTTAGGCTTAGGCTTGGCTTAGGCTTCGGCTTAGGCTTCGCTTGGGCTTGGGTCTAGGTTAGTGATGGTATTATTCAAATCTCAAATCTAATTTGCATCCGCCTAATCAAATCTGTCGCTTTGATTTGAATAAGGTTTCAGCACTTCAAATCAAATCGATTTGATTTGGACTTTCGAGGATTGAGTTCAAATCTGAAGATTTGAACGAGGATTTGAAAGGAGTCGAAAAAATCAATAGCCGATTACGCGGATGCTAATTTTATGATGGCATGCATAATCAAGGTAATTTCCGGTTCGCACCAGCTCGGCCATAGCGATTTTGTTGTGTTTTGCATGCCGGCATCTCCATAAGATTTGATTAAGGACCGGAAGCTTAATCAAATCCTCGAGATTTGGTTTGAACTCGTCCATGGGATTTCAAATCAAATCCGCCGATTTGAAATTGAAATTTTTGCCTTCAAATATTCAGATTTGAGCTCTCAGATTTGACTCAAGATTTGATTTGAATAACCCCATTACTAGTCTAGTTTAGGTTAGGCTTAGGCTTAGGCTTGGGCTTGGAGTTAGGCCTATGTTTAGACTTAGGTTTAGGCGCAAGCATAGCTGAGGCTTAGGCTTGGCTTTGGCTTGAAGTTAGGCTTAGGCTTACGCTTCCTTCAAAAAATCAAAAACTGGCAAAATCCAATTAAAAATATCTTTTTTTATCAAAAAATCCGTCCGATCATTTTTCCCGCCAAGAAGATCCAATTCCATTTTTCCCGATTTTCAATTAAAAAAAACGGGACACCCACCTGTAATAGTAAGCCGACCAGGAAAACACGGCCATTTCGGGTGCCCATTTCGCTCGCCTTTCCGGTGGGGGACCCTGAAAAAGCAATTTTCGGAGAAAAAATAAATCGAAAGCGGTGAAAATGAGAATAATAAGCATTGTGAAAGATATTTGGCAATTGGCAAAAAATTTGTCGATACCGGGAGTCGAACCTGGGTCGTCTGGGCGTCAGGCCTAACCAATTGGCCAAGCTGACACATTTTTAGATAAAGGTTAACCAACCATTTTCGGTTTTTGGATGAAAATGAGCACGAATGTGGTGATTTTGAAGGGCTTCTGGCGGTTTATAGATATTTTAAAGGATAGGCAAGGTAAAAACAGAGATATACTGGAAATCCATGGGAATTACTTGTCAATCCCTTTAATACAGTAAATTAGCATGAAACCAATGGATGAATTCTTAAGCGCTTCTCGCCGCTTCACAGTCCCTTTAAAATCCGTAAACCGACTGTCAAGAAAAGAAGAACACAGTGTGGCAGATGCCGTGGTTGTGGCTGCCATTGTTAGCTAGGGTATTAGAGGGGGCGGGTGTGTGTATCTTTGCATTCTCTCTCTCTCTCTCTCTCTCTCTCTCTCTTTCTCTGTCTGCTACCTGGGGGGTCGGAGGGCCCTTCGGCAAACGGGACGCAAACAGACAAACAGACAAAACGATAGAAAGAGAGAGAGAGAGAGAGAGAGAGCGAGAGAGAGAGAGAGAGAGATTGAGAAAGATATAGACAGATACTCTTGAAATAACCGGTGGAGTCTTGCTATTATTCACGCAGAATCAAACAGATAGCCACTAAATAGAGATGTGTAATTATTTTTTCGATGACGACGGCGTGACGTCTAAGCCTAAGCCTAAACCCAAGACTAAGCCCAAGCCAAGGCAAGCCAAGCCTAATCTTTACCCACCCTCTCCGAATTTTCACGAAATTTGACACCCGAACCGCCATCGTCAGCGTGGCAAATTCGGGGGGAACGCCCTGCTATGCCCTGGGCGTGAAATGGCCTCTCCCATTTCCTGATCCCTTCTGTCCTTTGGCTTACTGGTTAAGTTCTCGCTTCATACGCACACTACCCAGGTTCGAATCCAACCCGCCGCAACGCTTTTTGCTTTTTGGCCAATAGCGACTGTAAGGTGTTTAAAGACGCCTCGCAAAATTTTGGGGCTCAATAACCATAGCTGGCGATTCAAAGGAACGCATTGAAGTCATATTTACCCAGGGTGCAGCGGCCTGCTGAAATGTTCATGGTCTTTACTGTCACCTGAACTTTACCGTAACATTTGTTAGGCGGCGGTTGGCACCTAGGGGATTAATAGAGGGAAAAAGAGAGAGAGAGAGAGATACAGAGAGCGAGAGAGAGAGAGAGAGAAAGAGAGAGAGAGAGAACGAGAGAGAGAGAGAGACGCTAAGACCGGTCCTCGAGAAGGTGAAAGAAACGGACACGAAGCGAGGGGGGAAATGAAACGGACAGAACGCACGATTAAGCCACTCGCGGGCCCTAATCAGGCCCCAAAAAACATCGATGGAATTCGTATTTCCTTGTCCTTATATAGAATCTGGAGCAAGCTAGCGGTAGTTTTTGAGGAATATTACGGCGGAATCGAGCTTCTACTTTGTAATCAACAACTTTTCAGCTTCGGCAATACCTGGTGGGCCGGAAAGCCTCGTTGGATGTCCGGACTTTGCTCCTTTTTGGCTCGCAGGTAAGAGAGTAAGAGTTTTAGGCATCTTACAACTTAAAAATTGAATTAAATATTATTTGAAATATTTAAAAATACTATTAGAAATTTTTGACGTCGCAGAAATTCAACTACTTTTATTTTTTATTGCAAAAGTTTAGTGGTGGTGACTTTAGAAAACGGGTTAAAACGGACAGCAAATTTTTTTTAAAACGCTATTTTTTGATTTTTACTGATTTGGGATCTAAAAGTTGGTTTTCGTCATTTTCGCAACCTTCCAAGTTCCTTTAAAAGCGCATAATTCAGGTAGCCTCTGCCCTGGAATACCTCCACGGTCAACAATTCGTCCATCGTGACGTAGCGGCGCGGAATGTGCTCGTATTTGGGCCCCAGCTGGTGAAACTTTCTGATTTTGGTCTTTCTCGAGCATTGGATTACGATGCCGTTTATACAGGTACTGTAGTTTATAGCGTTTTAAAGGATCTAGAAAACAACTAGATTTATGGAATTTTTAGAAAAAATTTAGATTTTATGGTTTGCGCGGGATTTGCCGGGCCGCGACACGCAACGCGCAACTCTCCTTACGTGATCGATTAAGAGAGCTTTAGGTGTCCAAAGGCTTAAGCGTTGTGTCGCGGCGCGGCTAAATCCATAAACTTGCCTTTCTCGTCCCTTCAAAGGGTAAATCTAATTTTTCAGCCTCTCGCAGCAAATTACCAATCAGGTGGATGGCCCCGGAATCGATCAATTTCCGTGAATTCTCGATGGCGAGTGATGTATGGATGTTTGGTGTATGCTGTTGGGAAATTATGTCATGGGGACAGAAACCATGGACTACCGTATCTAATGCTGATGTTATTGGTAATTTATTATTTAAGGAATTCATAGCTAACAAACAGCCTATTATGCCTTGACAGTCCCTTTAAAACGGTTTTTAGGCGAGATTGAGGCCGGAAAACGACCGCCGTGTCCGGAAGCCTGCCCACCAGCGCTTTATGGGTATCTGGAAAAGCATATCTGGGCTCAACAACCCCCGAAAAGACCGTTGATGAATGAGGTACGTCTTTGGGGAAAAAAGCAAAAAATAAGCCGCGCAGGGTGGCTTGCGAGCATTGAGCATGAGCTCAACCAAAAACTACTCTTTTCCAGGTCAGCCAAATTCTGCGCGACGTCCTGGAGCAGTTGAAACGGCGCGTCCATCCTGAACAGATTCGCGTCGTTCGCCCGATTCAGGTTTGTGAACTTTTATATACAAAAATTATAGCTAAAAACCTTTAGAATATCCCAGTGATCCGAACGAACATCGAGTGCTTGCCGAACTTGACGTTGTGGCGAACGTTGGAGGAGCAGAGGAGGCAGATGGAGGAGGATGAGAAATGGTTGCAACAACTTGAGACTCAAGATGGAGAAGGAGATGGGGCTCAGGCAAGAAGGCTTAGCTTAGGCTTTGGCTTTGGCTTAGGCTGAGGTCTAGGCCTCGGCTTAGCTTAGGCTTAGGTTTCAATAATTCCGTAGTCGGAGTAGCAGACAATCCACTAAAGTCATTGCTAGTTTGCCTGAAAAGACGACCCGACTGGTGTCACCATCCCTTTAAACCCCCGATTCCAGACTACCCCTCTTGGTGACGATGATGAAAATCTAAACCGTGTCCTGCGCTCCCTTGCCCTCGATGAAGAAACCCCAAATGGAAATATACCACCTATTCATAATGTGGTAAGCCTAAAAATTTGGATACGGTAGCTGGGACTCACTTTAGAGCGCCAGCCAACTGAATTGTGTCCGAAGGGCCGCGGAGTCGATTGCAGAGAATGTTGGAAAACTAGAGAATACGTACAGCCAGCAAATGAAACATGAGGATTTTGTGCATGGCATAAAGGTAGCGGCTAAGGGATGAAATTGCTACAGTAAGATTTTTAGGAGATCACCACCAGGCTGCGGGAGATGTTCAGCGAGGCCGCGCCGTTGGTGGTTGATTGTGCGGTTGAGAGGCAACATGAGGTGGGGAAAGGGCGAGAGAGAGTAAGAGAGATAGCGAGAGAACGAGAGAGAGGGAGAGAGAGTGAGAGATAGAGATTCCATCCTTGCCATTCCCTTTAATCCTCCTAAAAACCCAATGCCCTATTTCCTCAAAACCCCCTATTTTCAGATGGAAAAATGCGAAGCTTTAATCGGCAACGACATGCGGCAGATGAGCAAGGCTATGCAGGCCCTGGCTGAGAATTTACCCTCCGTGGTACTGTAATACCTTTTAAAGGGCCTTATAAGTCATAATTTCATAAAGAAGGACTTGCCTCAGTTTCTACCCCAAAAAGCAAAAAATTCCGCACCGGCGGGGGTCGAACCCGGGTCGTGTGCCCGGGAGGCTAGCGCCCTACCAATGCACTAAAGTGTAAAATCGTCGAAACAATTTCAGTGTTTTCTAGTGAGCAGTTTCAGGCGTACAACGCACACCGCCGCGACGTCGTCCGCATCGCGCGGGATTTGTCGTCGAATTGTCGGGATTTTGTCGACCTGCTGACCCGACGCCACCATACCGTACCCAGCCCGGCTGCCGCTCAATTAACGGATTGCTAGTGATGCTGTAGTGGATTACGGTAGCATAATGCGGTATTACTGTAGTATTTTCTAACCTTTAAATTATTAATTATAGCCGTAAAAACGTGTAGTTTGTAGCGCATCGTATTTTTTTGCTTTAATTGACGGGTGAAGCCAGGCGAGTCCCAAATTTCCCCCAAACAGCCAAGATGTCGTTTTTTATTTGTATTTTGTTTGGATATTTGCATAAATTGATGAATTGATAAATTTTGGCTAAATCTGTTCATTTTACTGCATACAACTGGAATGACTGGCCGTGTATTGACCACTACTGGGTGAGTCAATGTTAAAAGAACACTACTGAAACTATAAAATCTCGTTAACAATACGAAAATACTAATTCGAAAATGGTAATCCGTTAAAATACGAAAAATCTAATAAAAACTATGCTAAAAATTAGAAAGAAGCTATTCTGAATCTCTGTTTATGTTTTAATATAATTAGCCTTATTTTAAGTTTAAATAGAACGTTGTAAAATTAATTAATTTTATTTTGTACGCATTGTAAACCTAAATTCCTCGGAGTCAAAATCAACTTTTCACTGCCAAAGCGCCTTTGGACGAGCGGTAACACGGGGGGCGGAAGAGGATGTTTTTCTGGCGCTCCCGATCCCCGTTCCCGAATGCGCCTTGGTCTAGTGGCTAGCGCGGCTGGCTCTCAATTTTGGGGCCAATGGTTCGAACCCCGCCCGCGGCGTGCTTTTTGCTTTTTGCATCAAACAATCGTAGGGTGATACCGTATACCTTCGAGGTCTAGAATCGCCGAAATTCCATTGTTTTCCACCCAATTCCTTCATTTTCCGGGCCTAATTCCCGCCCTGCTGGGGCTTCTCCCATTTCGGTGTTCGTCGGTCAATTTCCGTCTCGTTTTCCGCCCCTCTCCAATTCCCCCCATATTTTCCATGCCCTCTCCGTCAATAATTCTGGCTGTGTGGGTGTTGTTTGCCATTGGCTGAGGTGTGCTGTCTGCCGGGGGTTGTTTGTCTGTGTCTTGTGTCTCTGTGTCTATCTGTCTGTCTGTCTCTCTGTCCATCCATATGTCGCTTCAACGTCTAGCCCAAACAACCCCGGCCATCGCATTTTTTCACGTTTTTCCACGTCGAAAATTAGCCGGATTTTGGAAATTTTAGAAAATTTGCAAAAAACCTCATTTTCAAGAGATTTTAATCGCTTAAATTGTAAAAAAAGCCTAGAAAATGACGAATCGAAGCATATCTAATCCTCAAGAATCTCTGCTAGCTGCCTGTTTATCGTCAACGTCTTGTAAAGCGGTTCTTTGCTGTTATCGGGGGGGGCGGGCTTAGCCGAAAAACCAATTTTTATTGTCGGCATATCCGTTAATAAGATGGAATATATTTTTATAGTAGTGTTAGCCGTTTTTGGTTGCTAGAAAGCTAGAAAAAGGTATTAAATGTTGAAAATACGAAATTTTGGAAATGTTTGTCGTTTTTCTTACTTTTATCAAAAAGTCGAAATTTTCCATCATTTTTGCATTTTTTTTATGTGCTTTTATGTCGAAAAGTGTGTAAAGTGCTGGAAATTTTGGGGGGTGTACGGATTCCTGAGGAAAAAGCCCCCAAAAAAGCCAAGTACCGGTCCCCGGAGAATTTAAAAACGTTCTAAAAAATCAGACAGGTGAACAGCAAATCATGCCAAATGATCTCTGCTAGTCCCCCTCCAAAATCGTTGATT